TGTTAGAGATTCAAAGGAGCACTTATAGTATGTGAATGTATAGAATTGTTAATTAATATAAATTATTAATATACAATAGTTATCTCCCATAGACTATAATTGTTATACAAAGAGAATATTCTTAATTATCTAATGGAATGAAATTAAATAAATTATAGGTATTTTGAAATTATTAGTGCATAAAGTTATAGAGTAATGTCCCAAATGTAATTGATTTGATGATAATATAGAAAATCATTATAAATATGATTAAATTTATTAATCAAATAAATTATATGTTTTGTATGATAAATAATCTGATATAATATATAATCCAAAGTATATCTAATTCTCACCGGACTCATCCATCGCACCGGTAGAAGCTTAGAGCCGCCCACCTATAATCGGTATTAAATAATTTTGTTATCAGTTTTTATAAATTAAATAGCACTTTATGTATAATATTATATCATACGTACTTGTATTACGTAAGCATACTATAAATATCTTATCTATAGATATTTTCCAATATATACAGTATTTATATTATTTATATTTCTATAATATTTAATAACATTAAAAAGTGAATACCTTATAGTAATCACAGGTATAAATATCGCGAGACATCCCAAAGTCAGATATCTTAACCGTTAGGTTGTGTCCGACCAAACAGTTTCTTGTGGCCAAATCTCGGTGAACGAAGTGGTTATCAGATAAATACTTACAACCTTTTGGGGAATCAATTTGTATAGACATCAATGAATGAGTTTTAAATACAACTAAAGTACGAGTGAGTTCCCAGAAATTAAACTTCAATGTGTGTGACTTTAACTTACATTAAGTGCAAATTGATAAGAATACAATTTAAAATCTTAAACATATTGTGTTTGATTTCTGAACAAACAAGTTATATTCTTTTAAAAATTTGTAGTTTTACCACTTGATATTTGCGTGGAAATCCAAATCAATTGCTCCTGAATAGAATAATTCAAAAAATCATCACAATTTAAGTGAAATAAACAAAATGAAAGAGTGTTTAGTGTTTACATGAGATATTAGAGCGGATTCATCGCCGAGTTCTTCATTTGTATGGGTTTGTGATGAATGACTCAATTTCTTAGTCCTCAACAATTCAGCCAAATCTCCAAACATCATGTACTCAAACACCATATATGGCATTGTGTGTGAATCCCTGACCACAACACCAATCAATTTAATAAGATTTTTGTGATTGAATGTCGAAATGATTTCTATTTCTCTCTCAAAGTCTTCTTTCGATTCATTTTTATCTTTCAATACTTTAATCGCCACTTGAATTATAGTTGCGTCCGATTGCTTGTACGTGCCTTATGTCGCAAATTATAATATATTAACTTTATAATTTACCATTAAAATTGTTTAAATATATAATACAAAATATTCGTTCATTTATCAAGATAGTTTTGAAGATTGAAATTTTGGACTCAATTCAATTTTTATTTCACTTATAAAGTATGATATTTACGGTATTTTAAAAATACTTGATATCAATTATAAAAGATAAATAGAAAAACATATTTAAAAATTGAAATAAATTATAAGCGTTTATGAAAGTATGATTAAATATTTAAGCAAAATCTTTTAAAAAAGTTCATGAATTATGAGATTGAGTCCATTTAAGGATTTATGTTTATCATTAATACAAATTCTTAGGTATTAGTCGCTATAAAATTTAAATAATTTATCAAAGATTACAATAACAAATGCAACAAATTTTATTAAATTTAAAAATATTACTAAATATTTTAAAAATGTCGACAAGTAATGCAACTGATATAAAATCTAACCTTTGAATACAGTGCCAAAACATCCCTCACCAATCTCTTCACCAAAAGTAATGTCTTCTTCAAAGAGTTCGATGTCTTGAATCAATTTAAACATCGGTCCGTCTGGAGAACTGCTAAATCATGTCTTTATTGGTTATTATTAGTTATCTTTTCTCTCTTATTTTAGTATAAGTTAACTAAATTCATATTATACTTGGCAACAAAACAATTATACTTATAATAAATCTTTTGTAGTATTAATAAAATATTGATCGATAATACAGTGGTATAATTTCAGATGCTATAAAAGTGTTTCAAATATGAAAACATATAAATTCATTATAAATCTAGTTTAATTGTTTTAATTTATTAGTTGGTATTGGAAATAAAGCCAATTTTAATATAAATTTAATATTCTTATAGTGAAACTATATTGTTTTATTTGTTTGCATAATTTTTAAATAACTAATAATTGAATGATAAAGGGATACAAAAATAGAAATGGTATCAAACCTGGCGTAATAATTAGGATTGGTAACGTACTGTTGCATACATTTGCTGAGAGTGCCAGTCATGGGAATGTGATCCGTCTCTCGTTTGTTAACTTTCTTAATCTTTTTGTGATAATATATTCCAAATAAACTCAATAATAAAATCGTGAGGACCACTAATATTGAAATCAATATTGGATTGAATGTCCAAAAATTTATATTTGAATGAATGTGTTGTGATTGTCTCTGATGTTTAGTATCATTCTTATAACTGGGAATCAATATAATGTTTGCGTCCGTCTGTAAATGTGAACAATATATTAATTGCTAAAAATTAGTTAAGGATTGAAGAATTTTATTTGAAAATTATTTTATCTAATAAACCTTGATGATCTGATATTTTGGTTGCGCTAAAATACTGCTCTACTTACCAGAAAGTATTTTACTACTTTATTTATACTGTACTGTATAACTAACTACTGTATATACTGAATATAGCTTTTATTTATAAGTTTATATAATTCTTTAAAAATTTCAAAGCAATATAGATCTTTAAAAATTCTTTGATCCCTTAGGTTACATTTTTGTGACATTTTTTATTAAAATATTGTAACTATAAAAATCACTTAATAATATTTAAATATTAATATAAATACTGAACTTTTTCAAAATATTAAATACCTATTTGCAACCATATTACATTTATTAGTTATAATTTTGTTAATTACTAAAATTGTTAGGATTCGATAGTTTAAAGATAGTTTTAAAACTTTGGAAAATTACAAAATAAAAATGTAAAGAATACTGTAAGCATTTCTTAGCTTAAAGAAAAATTAAAATTTTTATAAGTAATTCTTTATTAACATAAACAAGGTAAAAATACTTGTAACAATTATTATATAGTTGAAAGATTTGTTTGAAATTAAATGATTTAATGAAATATATTGTAAAAATGTGTAACTTACCCCGTTATTTGTAGGAGCAAAGAGTTTGACGAGTTGTTTTCCCAAAATGGCAAATGCTGTATCAGAATTGCCTTTTCTAATTGCTGTTTCTATTATTATTTAGCGTTTTATATATCAAAACAAATATTAGTACAAATTTTCATTAAAAAATAATCAATTCAAAATGTTGTATAACTTTTGTGTTACATAACTTATTTCATAATATTTTTAATTTAAATAATATCATATTTACACTATCATAAAATAAATATTTCCCTAAACCCCTACTGAAACACAAACATTGAACTTAAAATGAAAAGTTTTTGAAAATTAAATAGAAAAAATCTATATTAACATTGTTATAAATATTTGATTATAAAAATTAAATTATTATACTGTATATATTTTGGGTTTATTAAAGTACTTCTAAATACTTCTAAGATTTGTTTTCGACTACTTCAATCATAATAAGATAAGATTAAATTTTCAAAATAAAAATAAATATATATCACAAATAGTAATATATTCTTAAAAGGTTCAAAACAAGTCCTGTACATATATTTCTTGGGTATTACAGAATGTAATCTATAAACAAAAATATAAAGTCATATAAATATATGTTTCATATTTAATATTCTCTTAATGCTTGAAAAGAGACTCAATGTTATATTAATGCACAAAACAAATACATAATATAGAGTCAAAATA